ATTATTATAATCTATAATAATACTAGAAGATTATTATTAGAATAATCTATACCACAGTGATGACATCACAAATGACGTCATGGAACTCCATCCAATTACTTCCTTTCTTCTCCAGCTATTGGCCAGTCGTTGCTTCAGCAACGCTCATATAGGTATACTCTGCCCCGCCCCTTCTCCCCACTCTTGGAGTGAAACAAAAGCCTATTGCACACCTGGGATTGGATACTACCACTATCCTTTCAAAACAAGTGGCCAATCACCTTTTCAATCTTAAGAGGGCGGGAATAGGTTCTATCCAATAGCGTGGGAGACTGAAACAAGAATGTTCATGCCCAAGTTTTCGAGAGCCTTAAGGCAGAGACATGGGAAAGTAGTACATCCAATCATGTGTTGATGAAGGCGGGTCTAAAATTCATTTAGCCAATAAAGGTTTGCAAGAGGCGGGCATTAATGACGTATTTCCCAATGCTTTCTGTGAATGGTCAAAATTCTAAAATTACAGCCCAATGAGTGGTATGTGGAGAATTGATTGATCTGCAGGCCTCTCAAACGGGAGAAATGAAGAGGCGGGGTTTGAACAACAGTAACCAATAGGCTTGAGGGACAGTCGAGAGTGGCATCCTCATCCACCAATGAGCTTAGACCCGCCCTTGCAAGGCGTCTGTGGGAACCCCGCGTCTCCGTCAGAACAGAAGCCGGGAGCTAAGATGGCGGCCGCCGACGGAGATGACTCGCTCTACCCTATTGCCGTGTTGATCGACGAGCTGCGGAATGAGGACGTCCAGGTAAGGCCCGTCTTTGTGGGAGCGCAGCCGGGACGGAAGGAAAGGAACTGAGAGGTTGTTGAGGCAGCCGGGGAATGCGAAGCGAAGGCCCCGGCACGGTAACCAATCAGATGCTCCCTTTTATATGGAAACCCGGATGAGAGTAATCAGAATCGGAGCCCGATTGGCTGGAAGGATCTTCATTTAAGAAAAGACAAGAGGAGGGTGTTGGCTAATGAAAGGGTCTGTACAATCCATTGACCTCTCCCTTCGGGATGAGAGCCGCCACGTGATTGGCCGTGCGGGTGATATTTCTGATACGGGGCTCAAACCCAAGAGGGGAGTGAATGGGCGAGGCTTGGCCTATTTATTTAATGCAGAGAAGCTTCCTGTCCATCCAGAGGAGGGGGGTTAGGCTTTTTCTATTTGAGGCCAGCCCCAGTTCATTCAGAATTACACCCTGGGAAAGACATTGCTGTATTATTATTATTTTTCAATGGAGGTGGGCCAGTTAGGAGATGTGCTTGTATGGGAAGGCTGTCAATAGGGAAGCCATGTTGGATGTAGCCTGGTGATGTCCAGGATGGAGGTGTGTGGCATTTCTTCTCCCCTTTTTTGAAATAGCTTTCTCAGGGTGCAGCTACACTGTAGAAATAATGCAGTTTTACCCCACTTTAGCTGCCATGGCATAATGCTATGGAATCATGGGAGTTGTAGTTTGGTGAGGCACCAGCCCTTTCTGGCAGTGAAAGCTCAAGGCTTTGTAAAATTGCAATTCCTTTTTAAAAATTGTTTTATTTGTTTTTTCCCACTCCCACCCTCCCCTCCTTGTGTATGCAATTTATACCTCAAACTACAGAAGTTACATTTGAAATATTAGTTTCAGTCTTAATTTTTTTTACTCCACATCTTAGCACATTTTCTAAGGAGCCCCCTATGACGCAGTCACAGGTTCAAATCAGGGGAGAGCGCTGATGAGCTCCCTCTATCAGCTCCAGCTCCTCATGTGGGAACATGAGAGAAGCCTCCCACAAGGATGTTAAAACATCACAACATCTGGACAACATCCTTGCAGATGATGAAGAAGAAGAACTTTATTTTTCTACCCCACCTTCATCTCCCCGCAGGGGCAGCTTACATGGGGCCCAAGCCCAAGGCAGAATACAATTAAAACAAAGCAAAAACAATTAAGACAGCATAAAACAACGTAAAACAACATAACAATAATAGCTAGCAACAACAATAACAGCAGACTAATTTTGGAGGAGGGGAGGAAGGACCACTACATGAACTAGTTAAAGGATAAGTGGTTTAGTAAGGTTGATAACAATGTATAATGGCATAGGAAATATCATGGAAACAGAATAAATTAACAGGATTAGTTAATATAGTATAGGACATCAGATTGAATGACAATTCAAGTCATGTCTAATTCTCTCACACAAGAAGCGACCTACAGTTTCTCAAGTCGCTCCTGACAGGACCAAAAAAAAAAGCACATTTTCTAAATAATTCCTAACTGGTTCCAACATCCTCTTAGTTATTGTGACCTTTTCAATTTTTTCTATACTATTCCATTTGCAATTTGTTATTTATCTTTCCAACCCCTCACTAAAACAATTTGTGCACACGCTATTAATTTGTCAACCAATTTTTTCTTTTATATATTCTTTATCTGTGCATGTACTACTTTTCTATTAACCATTATTATTTGTAAATTTAGCATTCTATTGATTTCTCCTTCAATCATTTTCCAGTATTCTTGCACTTAATCACATTCCCATATCATAAGATTAAACACCCCTCTTTGTTCACAACCATGCCAACACCTATCTTTTATCCATGGTACGAAGCGTGAAAGTTGTGCAGAAGTTCTGTACCATTTTTGTAATATTTTCCTTCTTGCTTCGCTTAATACACTTCACTTTATTTCTTAATTAGTCGCTCTCCACCAAGGTGCTCCGAGCGACTTACAATCTAAAATAGCATTTACACAATATAAAAACAGTATACCTTTCTTTTGCTATATTTCTTATTTCTCTTTGGATGTCTTCCCTCTCAATTTCAATTGCAACTCCCAGGATACCACTGCACCATGGCAGTTCAAGTGGGGTCAAACTGCATTGATTCTACAGCGCAGATAGAGGCACCCTCTGATTTTTCTGCTCCTTCCACCTGTTTTTAGAGTTCTTCAGACTGTGGGAAAATTCCACCCCCAATCCACTGCATTTACAGTCTGCATATCCCACCTCTTAAGCCCCATCTACACTGCCATATAATTCAGTTTCTCAATCCAGGTTATCTGCTTTGAGCTGGATTATATGAGTGTACACTGCCATACAATTCAGAATATCTGGACACGTCCCTGTAAATCAGTAAGACTTTAGGTCAGTCCTGGAAAGCTGTGATTTTTTTTAAAAAAATTATCTTGTTAATTTACACAACAAATTCCACACACGTGCATTTCACTTAGGATATCATCAAAGCATACCGACCATTGTCTTCCTGATGGGCTCTAGCTGTCTTTACTAAATAGAGAGTTTTGGTGTACTTGGTGTTCATTTCTTAAAATATTCTAAACATATAGCAATATTCACATCTTCATCTATATGTTTAGTCTTTATTTTCTCATAAACTTCAGTGAGTTTTTCAAAACCCATTTTTTGCTCCAGTTTGCATCTTAGCTCTTTCAAATGACAGAATAAACTTTTGCACTCCTCACATTCACTAGCATGATCATTGTCATTGCTGTCTGATTCCTTATCAGAAATGCATGGAACCAGAAATGTTATGTATTTCAGTTTCTTTTGAGTTTGGCAATACTTTCATATACAGCATAAAATATTCTGGAGATGAGATTAGGTCTAAACATGACATTCATCGATATTTCATTTGCATCTTATACACATAGTTTTAAAGTAATTATATACTCCTTTTTAACATTGTGCATGTGAAACAAAGTTTGGGTGCACTGAAATTTCATAAAGCAAAGGTATCACTCCCTCAGCCACCCATGTAGGTGTTTGTGTTTTTTTGGGGGATATTTTGGAATTCTGGATAAGAGATGCTCAACTTTATATACTGGACTAAATACCTTAAAATCCCCAGATCCCATCCGCTCTTGGAAGCTGAACAGGATCAGGCCTGCAGGTGCTCTAGGCTATTCTTCAGAAGTGGGCAATGACAAATGTCCTTTGAACATTCCTTAAATAATAATAATAATCTATAAAATCAATTAGGGCTCCATAAATTGAAAGGTGTCTTGAAGTCATGTGCTCACAAAGAGCCCCAAAGGCTGCAATAAATAAATAAATAAATAGTTATTCCAGCTTTAGGTAAATCCAGTTGATTCAGTGGGTCTGATCATATGTTCTAACAGTGGGATTTAGAACATGGTTAGAACTTTGATGGGAGACATATGATTGAAAGCTTCTGTAGCCTATAGTTCAGAGAAACTAAAAAAATCTCTTGAGTGTTCCTCGCCCAAGTTCATAGTGTTACCTTAACTTGACAAGGCATTTAAAAGCATACACATACATGTTGATAGTGCAGAAGTATTTGAGTCTTTAGTTCTCAGAAGACTAGAACTCTGGAATCTGTTAAGTGTGACATGGTGGAAATTCGATGGACGAGACTGTTTTATTGTTTTAATTATTGTTTTATTGCTTGTGGATGCACTGTTTTTAAACTTGATTTATGTCTGATTGTAGTGTATAGTTGTAATTGTTTGTACTGGCATTGAATTTTGCCATTACTTATGTGTAAACCGCTTTGAGTCCCCCCTAGGGTGAGAAAAGCGGTATACAAATACTGTAAATAATAATAATAATAATAATAATAATAATTCACAGATGATCTACTGGGGATGCTTTCTGAAAGGAAATTGACCATTCTTTTTTGGAAAAATAAAGCCACTGAAAATGTGTGGCCCAATTTCTAGAATCTCACATAGATGAAATGAGGATAATAAAATTCCTTGTTATCATAAATAGCCCAGGAAAGATTGAAGCAAGCACTACTAAGTAAATGGGAATTTAACTGTGTACAGCAAAAGAGCAGAAACCCTCTTTTAGATTTATTAGGAAATTAATATGTGCCTGATATGCCTCACACAGTGATCATGAGACAGAGTTGCCTGTTCTATCTTAGCAATCCTGATTTTTTTTTTTAAAAAAAAAAATGTAATGGTAGATTTCTGAGCCTCTCACACAGAATTTGTGCCTTCAGCAAAATAGCAAAAATGGGAGTGGAATCTGAAGATGATCTTGATTTCCAGCAGGGTAAGAGTCATGACATTGTTGTAGTACAACTTTCCTAGACAACTTTCTTGCCAAAGGAAACCCTATCAGATTCATGGGACAACATAAGTTGGCAGTAAACTTGAAAGAATACAATGAAACAGTCTTTAATGGCATGCATATGTAAAGCATATTGTTTTAGTTTAGAGCTAGGCAACTGTAACAGGAGCTCTGTTTTTATTTTTCCCCTCTACGTCTTTGAAGATTGCATTGCACCACCCTGTCAAAACTGGAAGTAAAATCATATTATTTTGATGAATTTTGGTTGACATTTTTGGGCAGATGTTTGGTCCAGCAGAAAATTGGGCTGTATAAGGGCTTGGGGAGCACCAAGGGCTACCAAAAGGGCTTTGGGGGCATATGCACCCAATTGACTGCACTTGTGTCTTCTGATGTAATGGAGACCCCGGTGGCGCAGTGGGTTAAATCCTTGTGCCAGCAGGACAGAAATCCAACAGTTTGGAGGTTTGAATCCAGGAAGAGCATGCATGAGCTCCCTCTGTTAGCACCAGCTCCCCATTCAGGGACATGAGAGAAGCCTCCCACAAGGATGGTAAAGCATCAGAACATCTAGGCATCCCCTGGGCAACATCCTTGCAGATGGCCAATTCTCTCACACCAGAAGTGACTTGCCGTTTCTCAAGTCGCTCCTGACATGAATAATAATAATCTGATGTAGTCAATCTTGGAAATTCAAAATAAGGCAGAATGGAAAGTGGCCATGTTTATTGAGGGATCCTGATAGTGCTTGTGCAGCTTTTCTTTCTGGTTGCACTTGCTGTTCCATCCCTATCTACTGGGAAGTGCTGTATGCTGTAGAAGCCATGTGGGTTCTCTCAGTTGTAAAGATAGATAAACCTACATCTCATGTTTATGGAGAGATTGCTTTCCATTATTTGTTTTTTGTCTTCAGATCATTTCTGATATATGGGGACACTAAGGTGCTCCTATCGGGTTTACTTGGCAAGATATTTGGCTTTTCTGAGGCTAAGGGAAGGTTACTTGCTCAAGGTCACCCAAAGGGTTTCCATGTCCAAATGGGGATTTATCTATTGTTCAAACATCTGTGCTCCACTGGCCCTGTCTTTGGCATCTGTCATGATAAACATGGCCATAAACTGACATTTGGTGAATCCTGAATATCAGTGTAGACATACTGTTGCTCTCTCATTAGCCTGAATATCTCTTTCTGCTATAATGAACTCAGAGCACTAGTATTAGATGCTTGTATTGTTAACTATAGTTTTATCCCTTCCAGAAGTAGCACAATCCAGAGCTGTGTGTCACTGATCCTTCCCAGTCAAAACCTGTCAAATTGACTATATTGCGGATAGGGAGGGACTGAGACCAGTTTAGCAGGTCAACCAAGTATCATAACATGGGATTTTATGTGCCTGAACTGTGTTAGGACCCAGTTATGTAGTGATTACAAAGGCAGGAGAGGGGTCTATTCCTCCCAGCCTTCTGTGGTAGAAATTTGAAGTTGTTAAAATCTTCACTTTAAACATTTGGACGGAAAGCTTAAATGGCTCATAATTGGTTGTTTGTTCTTTTCCTTTGGCAACTAAAGGTTTGTCACTTGATAACTATTCCATTTTGCCCTCTCAGTTTGTGAAAGATGAATCAGTGCATAAAGTAAGTCAGAATGGAAAATGGCCATGTAGATTATCCTAATAGTGATAATCTAAAAATACCAGTTTTCTAAAGTCTGATTATGTTTGGGCTTAGTGTTTCAAAAGTGAGAAAAGCTTACTTTGTTTCCTCCTCTGTTTGACTTCTGGAACTTGCCCACACATACCATGATATCCAATCCTAGTGAGAATCTTTCAAAGACTTTTAATACTTTTACTTCATATCTTTTCTGTTTTCCATTCTTTGATCAGCTAGGCTGTTTTATAGAGAATTCAAAACCAGGCAATTAAAAAAAAGTATTCAATCACCAGACCTCAGAAGACAAAAGAAAAGCCATTGTTTTCTCCCTGGTGAAATAAGTTAATTTATAATTGTTAATCCAGTATAGCAGTTTTGACAACAGTTCTTCCACCATTTGTATTTCTATACTCTTCTGCCTTTGCATGTATAACAATCTTGCTGTGGTGATCATATATTGAAACAAACATTCATAGTCCATAGTCCATAATTCACAAAACAGAACATTCTGGTTTCATTTTAATATTAATTATCATAATTCTTTGCCACATATGATAACATGTTCCTTCACATTGCTCATATACATTTAAGGTATATTTTTACATTTTAGACCATTTCTTATGTGTCATAATAATATAATAATAAAGCTTTATATCCCACCTCCATCTCCCCGAAGGAACTCAGGGCGGTTCACAAAAGCACTCCAAGGTGCCACACACAAAAATACACAATACATAAGCATAAAGAAACAGTAACAACATACATTTACACAACGGTTACACATAAAACATCACACACAAGATTTAAAATGCACGAACAATACAGCATTTTGTAAATGTTTCTTTGAGATCATATCATAATGTATATTTCAGACCTTTGGACAACAACTTTTACTGGCTTTTCACTCCATGATGTATACTTGAACATGTATTTATTTATTTATTTACTTCATTTATATACTGCTTTTCTCAGCCCTTAGGTGACTCAAAGCTGTTAACAACAACAGTTTCAATACACACATTACAAAATCATTGGAACGTTTAAAAGCAATAGCAAAACAACAATTAAACATCAATATGACAAATCATTCATGTTTCATCAATAGAATCAGAATCCAGTCTCATCATCCATTATTCCGTGTTCCTATAATCAATTACACTGCCTAATCGAATGCCTGTTCGAACAGCCAGGTCTTCACTTTCCTCCAAAATGCCAATAAGGACGGGGCCGATCTGATATCTGAAGGAAGGGCGTTCAACAGCCGAGGGGCCACCACTGAGAAGGCCCTGTCTCTCGTCCCCACCAGGCGTGCTTGTGATTAATTTATCTGTGTGGACCTTGTCTTGTGTGTAATTTATTTCTATGTACTCTGACTTTCTTTGAGGGGTGAGGCTGAATGGGAAAATAGAACACGATATAAATCTCTCACAACATGGTATCCCCCTCTCTGTGTTTGGAGTTCAATTCCATGAGCCAGTAACAGCATGATGATAATAGAAACAGTAATTCAGGACATCTGTGAGAAGCCCAAGTTACAGAAGGCTGATTTCCCAGATTAGCAGGGTAATAGCTAAGTCAATTCGAGACTCAGTATCAAGATGTTGGGTTTGTGCAAGGTTAGTTAATTTCCTCGAGTGGTTCATTATTTTGAATCTCTTCCTTGGATTTCTCTCTTTTGACTACAGCTTCGTCTGAACAGCATCAAGAAGCTCTCCACCATTGCATTGGCCCTGGGCGTTGAGAGGACACGCAGTGAGCTCTTGCCTTTTCTCACAGGTAATGAAAGCCTTTCTATTGGTGTCCAGTCTTAAGCAATCAGAGCCGATTCTGAAAGCCAAAACACTTGTGTGCTTCAATTTCTGCTTTGGACAATGCCCCAGTTTGTGTTCCAAGGCCTCCTTAGAAGTTTCTCTTTGTAGGTTGCAATATGCATGCTGTGTGGCATTTCACAATTCTTCAGGCAGAATACTACGTTGTTCTTTCTTTTATGCTTATTGGTACAGCCCTGACCAAAGGAAAAGTGTAAGGCTTTCATCCAGGCTGGGAGCTTGTAGCTGAAGGTTGTTTTCAATGCTGAAGTTTCTACTTGACGAAATAATAACACCCTCTCTGCCTTTAAATATGGTTTCTAAACCAATATCATATATGGCAAAGAATTATGATAATTAATATTAAAAACAAATTATCACCCTGTTTTCACTACCTGGATTTCCGCTATATTGTGATAGTTTTAATCATTGCAAGCTTATTTGTCTTTGCTTGCTTCAACTATTTTTTTTTTCATTCTTTTTTTCCTTCTCCTACAGATACTATTTACGATGAAGATGAGGTGCTACTGGCCCTCGCGGAGCAGCTGGGAACTTTCACGGCTCTGGTTGGGGGCCCTGAATATGTCCACTGTCTATTGGTAAGTTGCCCCGGGGGGGGGGGGGGGCACATTTTCAGCAGATGAAAGAAATGGAAGTAAAAAGTGTTAAGAATTTGAGAGTGCTTCTGTTCCTTCACTCCACTGGTTGCAAATTAGTTTCTTGGTAAAGTACAAAATATTGGTTTTGACCTTTAAAGCCCTACATGGTTTGGGTTCAGGTTACCATACAATCTGCCCTGCACACAGAGGTCCTTTGATGGACAGTTTACTCCATCTTGCCAGAACCTGATTGGTAACCATTACTCAGAGGACCTTTGCTTCGGCCACCCCACGAATGTGGAATGACCTGCTAGAAGAGCTCTGACAACCAAATGAGCTGTTTGAATTTAAAATCTATCTAAATAATAATAATAATAATCCTTTATTTCTAGACCACCCTTTCTCCCCGAAGGGCAGTTTAAACACACAAAAAGACAAGCATTCAATGGCTTAGTAGAGTACAAACGTAGCCACATAATACACAATAAAGCAGCAGTAATAACAGTGAGCTAACAACAAAAAATCAAGCATTGTGATGAAAAAGAAAAGAAAACAATCCAATAAGACACAGCTAACTAAAACATAAGTAAACATTCCTAACAACTATCCTAAAAGCAACTTAAAATACAGTTACATTAAAAATGGCTGACGCGCGTGTTCATTTGAAATGTAAAGTGGCAGGCATAAAAACAAGTGGGACTAGCCAGCATTACAAGTAGTTAAAGTCGCTTAGTCCTCTTCCTCTCCATGTGCTAAAGTGCATAAGTGTGTTTTTAGAAGTTTCTTAAAGGAGAGGGGGTGGAGGCCATGCTTACTTCTTTAGGGAGGGATTTCCAGAGATGGGGAGCAATCACGGAGAAGACCCCTCCCCCATTCTCACCAAACCACCGATTTCTTCCAGTAGGCCTTCCTAGGCAGTTTTTAAACATGAATTTCAAACATGTGCCCATTGCTTAATCTACCTTTTGTATATATTAATATGTATTTTATAGAAATATATTTTAATATGTATCTTTTATAGAAAAAAATAATTTGTGATATTTCTACAATGTTTATATGTTTTAATTATTCTGTAATGTGCCTTGAGCCACTAGGAGACGCGGGCAAGAAAGAAAGAAAATTATTATTATTATTATTATTATTATTGACAATTGATAATTTTGAGGGGATTATAGTGTTAAGCCCTCACAGATGACAAACATTTTCTTAGATAAATCATTTTCTAGGGTCAGCTTGGTTTTCTAAAGAAGATTGCTAAGTGGGAAAGAAAATGCTTATTTCAGTTCTGGAAACTGTAATTTACACACACACACACACACGCATACATACACATCAAAGCTCTATTGTGCATCCCATGAAAATGTCTGGCAAAATATTTATCTGCAATTTATTTGCATGAAGGAATATAGGGTGTGTTTCTAATATGTGGCTAAGAATTGGAATTCTTACGCAGGTAACCCATATTCTGTTTCCTGCATGTTGAGTCTCCACTTATCTTACTAGAAATGGAAAGTTTTGTTAATCTCATATGCTCCAAAAGCATAACAACAATTTTAAACAGTGGCTGAAAATCTCTTTCTTCCTGGCTGCTTTGAATAGATTGTTTGTCCTATCAAAATGTCAATTTATTTTGATTTCTTTTCCTTTTAAAAAAACTATAGTATATTTTTGTTTTATTACTATTTCTTATGGATAGTGATAAATTATAACCTGCAGAAATGCATCCTGTCTATAATGCGTCCTCTGATCTTATTGCAGCCCCCACTTGAGAGCCTGGCGACAGTTGAAGAGACGGTGGTGCGAGACAAGGCAGTGGAGTCCCTGCGAGCCATCTCCCATGAGCACTCTCCCTCTGACCTTGAGGCCCATTTTGTACCCCTGGTAAAGCGCCTGGCAGGAGGTGACTGGTTCACCTCTCGCACCTCTGCTTGTGGCCTCTTCAGCGTCTGTTATCCACGAGTCTCCAGTTCGGTGAAAGCGGAACTCCGACAGTACGTGTGCAAAAATGGTTGGGTTATATCTGCTGAGTTGTGAATGACACAGAGTAAGAGAGAGTGATTGTGTGGCCCCATAAATCGTAAATGGCAACTATTGCTGCTCCTTCCTCTTCTGCAGGTATTTCCGGAACCTGTGTTCAGATGATACTCCAATGGTGAGACGGGCAGCAGCCTCCAAGCTGGGCGAATTTGCCAAAGTCTTGGAGTTGGAACATGTCAAGAGTGAGATCATCCCCATGTTCTCTAACTTGGCCTCTGATGAGCAGGTTGGTATGCTGGCATGTCAAGTTCTGGAAGAGAATGGGAGCGAGTTGTGGCAGAGATATGCATAGTACTCTGAAAAGAAACTTTACTTTAACCCATTTTGTATCTCTCATATAGGACTCTGTGCGTTTATTGGCCGTGGAAGCCTGTGTTAATATTGCTCAGCTCCTACCCCAAGAGGACCTGGAGTCCTTGGTCATGCCAACACTACGGCAAGCGGCAGAAGACAAATCTTGGCGGGTTCGTTACATGGTGGCTGATAAGTTCACAGAGGTTAGTATGAATCCCTTCTGCAAGTCAGCAATATATTGTGGTGGAGAGATTCGGGTGACACACTTTTTATACCCTCTTCTGTTCTTGTTGATACACATAATAATTTCAAAGTATACAAACTCCACTCAGTACTCTCTTTTTTTTCCTGATTATACCTCCTCGTAGTTGTCCATGAAGGGTTTCGGACTTATTTTCATTGAGGGCCACAGCAAAGGGCTGTTGAATCCATGAACAGAGTATCTGTGGGTTCAGAGGGCCAACTATATTGGTCAGTTCTCTTTAGTTTTTACCCAGTGTGGGTCCCCAGATGTTATTGAAGGACATCACTTTTGATTATCCGCCATGTGGACTGGGGATGATGAGAACTACAACCCAACAGTACTTGTGGTTCTGAGGTCAGGGAAAGATGAAAGGACATTTTAACACCAGACATCATATCCATGAGCCTTTTGGAACCCCAGTCTCCCCATCAAAACAGAACCAACTGCAGTCTTCCAGATGTTACTGTGCCACAACTCCCATAGTTTCTAGCCATTATATTTAATGATGAGGAATACAAGAGTTGTAGTCCAGCATCTGGAGGGCCTCATAAAATGGCATCAAGGGCTAGATTTGGCCTACGGACTTTGTATTAGACACATGTATTGTTGATTGTTGCTCTTGTTTGTTATTACTTTCCTGCCTTTTTCCCTGTTAGGGACTCAGCGAGACTTACAGCACTTATAAAGGAAGCATAATTAAAACTTCCACCACATGAAAGTTGAAAAACAGTTAAACCATCAAAAAATTAAAATATTTAAAACATAAGCCATTAAAAAATAAATCAAAGCCCAGCACATTATTCAAAGCCTGCTCCTCATAACCACCACTTTCTCTGCTGAATGTTATAATTGCTTCTATCAGAGTTCTGGCAACCCTATTGGGAGCTTCTATGTGGTGAAGTTGGGTGTGATTTCATTCCTTACAGCTCCAGAAAGCTGTTGGACCAGAAATCACTAAGACTGACTTGGTGCCGGCCTTCCAGAACCTCATGAAAGACTGTGAAGCTGAAGTGAGGGCTGCTGCCTCCCACAAAGTCAAAGGTCAGTTGTACTTACTTGACCCGTAGTGTTTTTGGAATAATGTGTGGAAGACCTTGAACAGCAATGGAATCAGTATAAGAGAAGCAGAATAAAGTTGGTATAGTGATGGCCCTTGAAAGTGATAGGAGTCAGAAAGGATAACTGGTGCTATATCGAGCCTACCTCTGATCTCCATGATTTGAAATGTTTCCAACTGGGGGTAGATTTAGTACAAATTACTTACCCGTATTTACTTGAGTTTAATGCACCATCAAATCTAATGCACACCTTTGCTTTCAAAACCCTGAAACCAAAAAAGTTTGCTGCCAAATGTAATGCACACTGGCAAAAATAAATGCCGTATATACTTGAGTATAAGCCGACCCGAATAAGCCGAGGCACTTAATTTTACCACAAAAAAATTGAGAAAACTATTGGCTCTAGTATAAGCTGAGGGTGGAAAATGAAGGAACTACTGGTAAATTTCAAAATAAAAATAGATGACAATAACATTACATTAATTGAGGCATCAGTAGATTAGATGTTTTTGAATATTTATATAAAATTGTAATTTAAGATAAGACTGTCTGTATCAACCTTGATGATCATGAGAGAGATTAGGAAAGATAGTCTTTTATAACTGCCATTATTTTGCTTTGCGTATACACGTGAGTATAAGCCGACATGAATGTAAGCCAAATCACCTAATTTTGCCACAAAAAAACTGGGAGTTAGCATAAAAAGTTAGGGCACCAGGGAAGAGAAATGTAATATTTCTCTGATCTTTGTTATCCAGGTAAACAACAGCCTCATCCTTGTATCTTATTACTATGGTAACCATTTTTTTTCATTTCTTAGAGTTCTGTGAGAACCTCTCTCCCGATTGTCGTGAAAATGTCATCATGACCCAGATCTTGCCCTGCATCAAGGTATGTGTCAGGACATCTTCCGTTGAGCTCGAGCTAGAATTTTTTTAACCATTACTTTTGCTCTTCAGTTAATCAGGTCAGGAATAGACTTTCAATAAGAGTTGCAGGCTGAAGAAGGAAAGAAAGCAGGAGGACTCTATAAAGAAAGAACAGCAAGCAGTTGTTTATTATGCATGGCCAGGGCAATTCCTTACTTCTGATTTTGATCAAAGCCTTGGTAGTTCCCAAGATGTGCATTCATATTGGCTGTTTTGCTGCATGCATGTATCTGGGAAGTTTTAAGAAATGAGAGTGTAGGTATTTGTGGTGTGGCACCAGAACATTGAATATATATATCTTCATTAGTTGGTTATCACATAAGCAGAATAAAGGTGGCCTCTTCAGCAGGGGGCAAGAACAGGAAGTGCTACCTAAATGTTTCTCTCCAGCATGTGTTGTCTAAAAATTCTCCCCTTTTCCTTCTAGGAACTAGTATCAGATGCAAACCAACATGTCAAATCCGCCTTGGCCTCTGTGATCATGGGGCTCTCTCCCATTTTGGGCAAGGACAACACAATTGAACACCTCCTGCCTCTCTTCCTGGCTCAGCTCAAAGATGAGGTGAGTGCTTCCCCCTGGCCTATACTTCCCATTCTTTCTGAAGTACTCAAAACATTTCTCTCTAGTTCCCAGGGCTCACACAAGGGAACATTTGCCTGCTCTCCTGTCTTATGTGCACTACTACATGTCTGATTAGCTTCCTTGCCATGAACCACTTTGTATGATGCTAAGGAAACAGTCTCATAGAATTAACCAAAGCATAGAAGTAGCTATAGAAACATACAGGAAAATATAAACTAAATTTGAAATATTCAAAGAAACCTTGTAGCACCTTAGAGCATAAGCTTTCATAAGATTACTGTATAGACTGATATATAAGTTGATGGCAGATTTTGAGATCAAAATTACAGATTTTAATATGACTCATGCCATTTCCCCATCCAAACATTCATAAAGACCAAAAGCAGCACCACGATGGAGAGATTCTTTTGGGCTCTCCTGAAATGTTTGCCACTCTACTCAGAGAAAGGGATGCTTGTTGTTGTTTTTTAAAAGATGGTACGCTACTCAAATCAATCTGAATAAATCAACCCAGGTTTTTTGGTTTGATTTTCTGACTATAATATCTAGACTCGCACACTAGTACATAAGGTATTCTATGATAGGTTAAATATGGAATATGTGCAATCGACATTTGGAATGGCCCTGGTCTACGAGTTTGGATAATGTGATTTTAGTGTTTTTATTAGGTGGTTTTAATTTTTATGTCTTCATGTCAAATTATTGCTCTATCTTATATTTAATTATCTTACTGATTTTAATGCTCAGTTTATGCTTTGTTTATATCTGTGACTTAGTTTATATGTATGTGAGACATTGAATTTTGCCTTTATTTATTGTAAAATGCTTTGTACTGTGTTTCTTTTCTCATTCTCTAAGATATTACAAGATTTCTTCACGTACTGATAGTTCAAACTTAATGGCTATGTCTTTAAATTTGAAGCGTGTAATTTTCTTTGTGAGGACAGATCCATAGTTGTCCTTGATAATATTATAATGTAATACAATATAACACTACTAATAATATGGTATTATAATTATATATTTTATATTAAATGTAATATTACTAATAATATTACAGTGTAATGTTATAGTACAATGTAATATATAATATTAATATTGTGCTATGGTAATAATATAATATATTGTATTTACTTTTTACTTGTAAGCTGCTCTGAGTCCCCTTCAGGGTGAGAAGGGCGGCATATAAATGTCATAAATAAAACAAATAATAAAATAGAGTAGTTTCTCTAGAGGGGCTTCATTGGTGAGTGGCAGAGCACATGTTTTGTATAAGATCCCAAGTTCAATCCTGCACTTAAATGCTTTCGAAGCAGGGTGGAAAAGGGCCTTAGGAAAACTCACAGTACTGAACTAGATGACCAAGTATTTGGTAGGTAGTAGAAACTTGGTTTTTTAGAAGTTTAGAGGGCAGGCCTGGGCAAACTTTGCCCCCCCCCCCCCAGGTGTTTTGGACTTTCAACTCCTACAATTCCTAACAGTTGGTAGGAATTGTGGAAGTCCCAAACACCCTGAGGGCCAAAGTTTACCCATGCCTGTGAGAGGGTGATTGTTAGTTACTCCTTCCTATTTCTGAATGAAAGACCTATATCTTTCAAGAATGCATCTCACACATCAACAGGTTGCAAGTCCAATTCACATAAGGTGGAAGAAGGCACAGCGGTTCTCTATTAGCCTTCCAATTAAGGAAGCTCAAGAAGAGGGAGCAGGTGTTAGAAACTGCCACTGGGAGTAAAGATAAGATCTCCCTTGTGTGATGTAACCCATTTCTCTTTCTACAGTGTCCTGAAGTCCGACTCAACATCATCTCCAACCTGGACTGTGTGAATGAGGTGATTGGTATCCGGCAGTTGTCTCAGTCCCTGCTCCCAGCCATTGTGGAATTGGCAGAGGACGCCAAGTGGCGTGTGCGATTGGCCATCATTGAGTACATGCCCTTGTTGGCTGGGCAACTGGTAAGTGCTGCATGAGCTCTTTAGAAATGAATGAAAAGTACTTGTGTGTCTGGAGGAAAATAATGACCTTATGATTCTTGTGTCAGCTGACCTGTTTGTTCCCCCTCAAACAGTCTGAAGATTATTGCCAATGAAACTGGAAGTATTGACAATTCAACCAAAGTCTGTTCCCTTTCCACATGCTTTTTGTTTGGCCTACCGATTGAGAGTGGGGTTTTTCTTGTCCTTTTATAATTGATTTTTTAATATTTGTTTTGAAACATTAAAGACATAATACAACACTTATGTCACATCATCTATGTGCCTGGTGGTGCAATGGTTTAAACCAGGGTTCCTCAAAATTTTTAAACAGAGGGCCAGGTCACAGTCCCTCCAAATGTTGGAGGACCGGATTATAATTTGAAAAAATTATGAATGAATTGCTATGCACACTGCACATATCTTATTTGTAGTTCAAAAAACAGTTAAAAGCAATACAATAATTAAAATGAAGAACAATTTTAAGAAATATAAACTTATTAGTATTTCAATGGGAAGTGTGGGCCTGCTTTTGGCTGAGATAGGATTGTTGTTGTTGTGTACTTTCAGACTTTCAGCGAGGGCCGGGTAAATGACCTTGGAGGGCTGTATCCGGCCCCTGGGCCATAGTTTGAGGACCCCTGGTTTAAACCCTTTTGCCGGCAGGACTAAAAACTGACAGGTCGGAGGTTCCAATCCAGGGAGAGCTCGGATGAGCTCCCTCTGTCTGCTCCAGCTCCCCATGTGGGAACATGAGAGAAGCCTCACACAAGGATGGTAAAACATTAAAACATCCGGCTATCCCCTGAGTAATGTCCTTGCAGACAGCCAATTCTCTCACACCAGAAGCGACTTACAGTTTCTCAAGTTACTCCTGACACGAAAAATAAAAAAATGATCTATTCCCAAATCTATATTAACCTCCACCCTTCCTTTCCTTCACATAGTTAAAAAAGGTAATGGTTTTCCCCTGACATTAAGTCCAGTCGTGTCCGACTCGGGTGTGCTGCTCATCTCAATTTCTATATATTTATGTTTTGATGTGGATACCATGAGGTGCCACTTTGTTAGCCGTCCTGAGTCTCTACGGACGTTGAGAAAGGATGGGATATAAAAGCCCCAAATAAATAAATAAATAAATAAATAAAATAAGCTGAAGAGCCAGTGTTTTCTGTAGACACCTCCAAGGTCATGTGGTAAGCATGACTGCATGGAGCGCCGTTCCTTCACATAGTGTTATAAAAATACAGCTCTGTCCTTAAATTGCTTCTGCTTATTCTAATTTCAACAATTTCATATAATTATTATAATATGTTTTCTACTTGTTCATCTCCAAAATTTCTTGGACATTCAGTGGTTTAAATTCACTATTGCTTTTACACGTTACCCTAAAAAATAGTTTACTGATTGTTATAACACCATCACATCTCCTAAAATTATGGCTTTGGTTTTAAAAATCCTGTAATTTAACAAGCTTGCAAGTTAATTTGAACTCACCACCAATTTCCCATTTTTAGGGTGTGGAATTCTTTGATGAGAAGCTGAACTCTCTTTGCATGGCGTGGCTTGTGGATCATGGTAAGACCTTGCTTTTCCCCTCCTCCTTTAGCAGTGTTGCCCTATGCTATGAGCTGTTAAAATATAGAATATACTTTTCTCATCAGGAGGGTTGTATCAGACTTGGTCAATCAGCAAGTTATCAATTTAGAGAAGCTATCACTAAAGTTTCAGCTGATTTGCTGGCTGCCTCCATACCTGTACAGATAGGATCCTGCTTCAGTTTTCCAAGGTGTAATTAACTTTCATTTGGATTCCTGGGGCTCCTTCCACATAGCTGTATGAAATCCACATTGAACTATTATATGGTAGTATGGATTCAGATAATCCAGTTCAAAGCAGATATTGTGGATTATCTGCCTTGATGGAACCCTCGGTTAAACCCTTGTGCCAGCAGGACTGAAGGCCAACAGGTCAGAGGTTTGAATCCGAGAAGACAGCTGATGAGCTCCCTCTGTCAGCTCCAGCTCCCCATGCGGGGACATGAGAGAAGCCTCCCACAAGAATGGTAAAACATCAAAACATCTGGACGTCCCCAGATGCAACATCCTTGCAGACAGCCAATTTTCTCACACCGGAAGTGACTTGCAGTTTCTCAAGTTACTCCTGACACAGAAAAAAAAATCTGCCTTACTATTCTGTGTTATATGGTTGGGGAAGGGCCCTGGGATTATTGTAGTGTGTTGTTTTGATGTTGCCCTTGTAAATTAATTGGGAGATTACAATTCAGAAATGTACTGTGAAATAATGAATTAGTGATGTTAGGTTGAATTGTGATTATCATAAGCACTGGCTTTGTTGTTCATCTCCAGGCCAGATTCAAAAGGTTTATCTTCCAAGTTTTAAACAAGTTACTTTGGCATATAAAGATCCTGAAATCATACTCAGAAGGGTTTCTCTGGGTGCTTATACAGGACAAGGATTGTTTTTCAGAAGTGGGACCCTTTTTGTGGCATTCCCTTTTTTAGAGAAATGTGCTCTCACTTTCTGATTTTGTGTAGGAGGTAAACGTTTTAATTTTATTTTTCCAGGTCACTTAGTTTACACAGCCAAACCACACAAAAAAAATCTTGGTATCTTGTTTTTTAGGCCTGTTCCTGGGGTTATTTGGGGGCACTGATTCAAAAAATTGCATCAGCTCTAACTTTTTAGATACAGTTATCATTTGCGAGCAGATGGCATCTGGTAGATGCCATGTGTTCTGTATCTCAAAAATTAGAGCTGATAGGGGAAACTTGCCATTTTTGAAATCAGCAGGATAAATATATCCAGAAGCAGGGCTAATATTTGAGGCACCATAATGTTTGTCAGCCAGTGTTATAGGTCTGCAGTCTGTTTGTCTATTAGTGCATTTTTATTGTTACATATACCTGTGTTATCTACCAGATAACTTTGTCGTTGAGTAGCATATGAACACTGTTAATAATAAAATGAATTATGATGATGATAATAAATTGTGTAGGACCTGAAGCATCCCTTCCTTAGGTTAATTGAAGGCTTCATTTTACTAGTTCAGTGCACTTCCTGTGAGTAAGAAGTTGGAGAGCACATGCTGAAGTAGTTCTTTAGATTTTAGTCCACGTCTCTAAAATGGCAAATGCTCTAGAACTGAACAAGTAATCCACAATATTGAAAGTGCACTTTGAAACTAATGGGATCCATTGTGTTCTTTTTCCACTTAAAGCAGGGTAGTGACTAATGCAGCTTTTAATGGAGAAATAAAGATGTGGGTTTGCTTTTTGCCATTTAATGGGGAGGGGGGAAGAGACCTTTTTCAGCCACAGAAGCAATTAAATTAAAGTCTAATGCCAGGATAATGGTGAAAAAGTAATTTAGTTTGTTTCCATGGCTTTTTCTACATTGGTATTCAAGGAATATTTGTAATTTTAGTATTTTATAGAATTTATAGAATTCTTAAATTATAACCAAAACCTTAAATATTTGCAACCTGGTATAAAATAAGGGGTGCAACTTAATATTACCCCTTATTTTAAGCCTTTCTTTTTTATTTTATGCTTTCCTCCTGCAGTCACTCACTATAATAATGATTTAAGAATGGAAATATGCTATTTATCGAGTAAGATTTGCCATTATTGATCAGTAGGGGTTTTAATTTGTGAATCTCTTGCTTAATAAAATTGAAGAAATATATTTTTCTTACACTCTCAAACTACCATAGACCATGCTCCCCATTCTCCTGGCAGAGTTGCAAACCACTATTAAGTGCTTTGTTAAATCTTTTGCAAATTGCCTGTGGGATCATATCGGTGTCTGTACTTAGGGCCCTTTCACAGTCATATAACCCAGACTATCAAGGCAGAAAATCCCACAATAGCTGGTTTCAACTGGGTGATCTGTGTCCACACTGCCATATATTTCAGTTCAAAGCAGATAATGTGGGATTTTATTCAGCTGTGTGGAAGGTGCCTTAGAATATACATCTATTTAATTGCCATCTTCTTTAATTATTATTGTGAAGGGGTGCAGGTGACTTGTATAAAGTAAATGGATACAACCCCAAGGCAGTCCACACATAACTTGTGCCCGATTCAGTTTTCCCCACGGCCTCAGTTTAATCATGTAAGATTTTTGCTATTGAAAAGAGAAGGGCTATAGTGATAATTGTAGCCAATGGTGACGTAGTTCATAGAAGTTCAGACTATGTGTGAAACTTGTGTATTGTAAGTCGCAGCGGTGGCCAGGGGAGCTTTCACACAATTAAAACTTGTGCGCCAGCTGCACCCGTACCTTGGGAGGTCAGACTTGGCCACGGTGGTCCATACTCTCGTTACATCTAGGATAGACTACTGCAATGCACTTTATGAGGGATTGCCTTTGAAGACTGCTCGGAAGCTTCAAATAGTCCAACGAGAGGCAGCCAGATTAATAACTGGGGTGGCATACAGGGAGCATACAACTCCCATGTTATGCCAGCTCCACTGGCTGCCAGTTTGCTACAGGCCCAATTCAAAGTGCTGACTTTGGCCTATAAAGCCCTAAATGGCCCCAGCCCAAATTACCTGTCCGAACGCATCTCTCCCTATGAACCATTGCGGAGATTGAGATCCTCTGGGGAGGCCCTATTTTCCGTCCCGCCATTGTCACAGGCACGATTGGTGGGGACGAGAGACAAGGCCTTCTCGGTGATTACTCCCCGGCTATGGAACTCCCTGGTGAGATCAGGTCAGCCCCCTCTCTCCTGTCCTTTAGAAGGATGGTAAAAACTTGGCTGTGGGACCAAGCTTTCAGGACAGGGCAATAAAGCAGCAATAAGAAAGATTACCAGTCCAATTAGATTTGACGTGGATGACTAGGATGGTTTTAAATGGTGTATTTTAATATTTTGATAATTGTTTTTAATGTTTATATATGTAAATAAGAATTTGTGTCCCGGCATTGAATGTTTGCCATATATATGCTGTGCTCCGTCGAGTCCCCTTTGGGGTGAGAAGGGTGGAATATAAATGTTTTAAATAAATAACACATTTCTCTCTGATATAAAGGACTTTATTGTACCCTCATCCATGCAAGTTTTACATAAAATGGGGGGTTCTTCCCTGTGTATGGGATAGATTTCCTTCCGTGTTTTAAGGTGGATTTCTCATAGCACGTCTAGCAGGATTGCAGGATTTTTCTTTGATACTCTCAGAACCCATCTGCTACTTAGCTTTACTTTAAATATAAAGCAACTGCTGTTTTGATAAACAACAAGAACAAGCCCTCTTTGTTCTGGCAAAAATGCTGTAACGTCCCCTTGAGATATTCCCTGTGAAACAAAGAATGGATTCAACTACTCCTTATCTTAACCCACATCCTTGGCTCATGTCACTCTTCTCCTGCTCCCTAGTCTATGCCATCCGAGAGGCAGCTACTAGCAACCTCAAGAAGCTAGTGGAGAAGTTTGGCAAAGACTGGGCCCATGCCACAATCATCCCAAAGGTCCTGGCTATGTCTAATGACCCCAACTACTTACACCGCATGACCACGCTCTTCTGTATCAACGTAAGTTGGGTCAGGGTTTGGAATAGAAGAAACATCTGGAGTGAATGTTGAGCAAGAGGGCCAGGGGATATTCTTGATTATTTATACAGTAATTGCCAGGTTTCTACTAAGAAAAGACTACCTCTTGCTGTTGGAACAAATTTTAAAAACTGGGTGCATAAGTATATTTTTAGTTTCAACTCAAAACATTCATAGAAGCATATTTCTTAGGTTTAGAAAATTATGTATGAAATGCATTTCCAATTTCCTGAAGATATAATTAGTTATCCAGTAGGTTGCTGTGGGTTTTCCAGGCTGTATGGCCATGCGCCAGAAGCATTCTCTCCTGACGTTTTGCCGACATCTATGGCAGGCATCCTCAAAGATTAAGACCCCTCAACCTCTGAGGATGCCTGCCATAGATGTGGGCAAAGTGTCAGGAGAGAATGCTTCTGGAACATGGCCATACAGCCTGGAAAACTCAAAGCAACCCAGTGATTCTGGCCGTGAAATTCTATATGCTTGGGTATAAGTTGAGGAATTTTAGCAAAGACACCAATCCAAAAAAACTGGGTTGACTTCTCCATGGGTCAATGTGAGTGCTGAACTTTTCTCATAAAATGAACCGCCACCTTCTCTGAATAGAGTGGCAAAACGCAAGAGCTTTGTCTGACCCAAGAGAACCTTAAAAAGCATCTACGTCTTCTACTCTCCCCTCATCTGCATCTGGTCTTTTTGAATCCCTGGGCAGGGAAAGAGCAGAGGGTGCTAGGGGTGTCTGGTCCCTTGAGGCATCCTGACTGCTTCCCCTCTCCATGGAATGACCCTCGATTAGCCACAAGTCAAACTGAAATCTATAATTTTGTTCCCCCGAACTTGCCCTCGAACTATACATGGGATTGGCTTATACACAAGTAATCAAATGGATCCGGCATTCAAAATAACCATAACTCAACTGCATTTTTAACTGCACTTTTGTAGACTTGTGAAGTTTAAATATATTTTTCTTAAAATACAAATTCTATGCATTGGAAATAATTTTGTGTCAGAGACCAATTTAGGACTAGAAATCAAAGACAGCAATGAAGAGAAGGAATACGAACAATTGAAAAAGCACGTACAACCTCCTCTAATATTTTTTTCTGCATTCCTCACATGTCAGTAGAATCTTGTTCAGAATGCAGCGTCAATCCTTCCTTGATCCTTAGCTGAAGTTCCCTGGATAGGAACATGAGGGATGTTATGCAGGTTTAAGTCCTGGATGTATCTTTTAAAACAGTATCCAGTACTCATTTACAACAGTAGATCTCTGAACCATAGCAGACCAGTCACTTTTCACCCACAAGTTTGGGGCTGCACCTTTATGTTCTGTCACTTCTAAGCAGGATCAAGGCTGTAATCTTGATTTTTAGACTTGAGTGTGTTAGGGAAAACTACTCTAAAATAAAGCAGAGCATCCAAAAACAAACAGGATACAAAAATTGAGCATCAGCTCTTTAGTGAGCAGAGTGTGAAGTGCCGTGTGATGTGGCTGTAAAGAATTCAGAGCTTAGGAGGCAAGCATGCAGAGTCCAGTCTTAAAAAAACACAAAAGGTTTCTTTACAATAATAAGAAATAACTGCATTTCTTCATAATCAAGAACTGGGTCTGACCTACTCTAACACCCATCTCTTCTAAAGTTTAAAAGAAGGAAAAACACCAATCACTACATCTCTCTGACACAGAGAGAGAGCGAGAGATCTCAAAGTGCACAGCACATACTCTCCATACTAAAGTGTAAGAAGGCAGAAGTCAGATTCAAAAAGGCCCGCAGTAGAAAAATATCTTAAGCAACCAGTCAGAATGAGAGTAGAAACACAGAGAGAACAAAGTAAATAGATTCCCAACTGTCATACAGGAGACATGGGGGAAGGGAATTCCCTCAGACTGTTCTAAACTAACCAACCTGTTACTCATTGAGGACTTGAGACTTGGGCAGTGTGGGGTTGGATTCCAACAATCTGCACACCACTCAATGTATATATCAGCTGTTCTACAATAGAATAAGTTATTTAGGAGACATTAAGATGGCCATCTTTCAAGGTGTTCCAATTGAAGTTGAATTGTTGTTTGTGTTTGGGACTAGATGTCCAGTGTTCAAGGCAATAGAATCTATGATGTGGCCCACTAGTTCCTTTTCTGTAAAGTTTTTCCAAGATTAGCCTTGAGAAGATTAATTCTGTTGTTGAAGGCTTTCATGTCCGGAATCACTGAGTTTTTTGGGCTGTATGGCCATGTTCCAGAAGCACTCTCTCCTGATGTTTTGCCCACATCTATGCAGGCATCCTCAGAGATTGTGATACAACCTCTGAGGATGCATGCCATAGATGTAGGTGAAACGTCAGAAGAGAATGCTTCTAGAACATAGCCATACAGCTCGGAAAACTCAAAGCAACCCAAAGATGAATTCTGTTTTTTATTCTAATCTATTGAGCACAGGCTAGGAAGAGAGCCAGAAGCAAGCCTAAAAGTCAAGGTCAATGTAAAATTTGGATCTAGATATGTACAGAACCATGATCCAGGTCCCCAATTCCTTCCCTTTAAAAATATATAAAGCCAAGTTTTTAAACTTTATGTTTTTCTCAAATACATCACAACTGTGCCCTTGGTTTGCTCCTGATACGATAAATAAATAAATCCCTTCCCTTAGGTGCTGTCAGAGGTGTGCGGGCAGGAGATCACCACAAAGCACATGCTTCCTACCGTCTTGCGGATGGCGGGCGACGCCGTAGCAAACGTCCGCTTCAATGTGGCCAAATCCCTTCAGAAAATTGGACCAATCCTGGACAACAGGTACTGGGTGTTACCGAGGAGAACTCTTTTGTGAAGCTCCTGAATTTCTCTTGTTTAAAGAGTTTGGGAGGTGGAAATGGAGGCAAAGAAGCCAAAAACGCCCACGAGACCTTGGGTACTAGTTCTTTCCTCTCTTGGCATAATCTCACACTATTCTTAAACCCACAGCACCCTTCAGAATGAAGTGAAGCCAGTCCTGGAAAAACTAACACAGGATGCAGATGTGGATGTCAAATACTTTGCCCAGGAGGCACTGACCGGTGAGTTGGGAACACTTTTTCCTTTCCTCCGTTCAGGTAGCCTTGACCTCTTTTACGACAAATGTGTGTCAGTTCCAGATTCTACTTCTAACCAGGAATCAGACTGCAGATGATGAGAGTAAATGCTTTCCACTCAAGGTCTTGCCTTTTAATGGCTGTTTCTAAAAAACCTATATGCCTACTCTTTCTGTCATTGGGGATGCAGATTAGTGTCCTCTTGCTTTAATAGCTTCAGTTTATGGATTTAGTGTCACAGGGGAGTGCTGGCTTGTTAATGGTGCTAGACCCAAAGGCATTTATATAAAAGGCAACCTGTACAGGATACTCAACCTTCAAAAATACTTGCATTCAAAGAACAGGTGTTCGGGGATGTTTCTTTGTTTTGTCCCTTTGGATCAGACCAAAGTCTATAGATAGCATTCTATCCCAACATGATTAGCCAAGTGCTCGAGAAAGCCCATAAACAGAACATATGTTCTGCTTTTGTTACCAAATCATACAGCTCTGATTTGCACTAGAACTGATAAATATCCATCTTGACTTTATCAGGTTTTTTTTTCATTTATTTAATATTTAATGTGTATCCTGCCTTTCTCTTAACATGGGATCCATGACTAGTAACCACCGATAGCCTTAACCACAATAAATTAGTCTAATCCTCTTTCAACACATACCTAGGTAGAAAATTCTGTCCTTTTTAACCTGTTTTTGGGAGAAGGAGATATGTTATCCACTCATCATTAGATGCTGCTAGTTTTTAATATTGTATAAAGCAGTGTTTCTCAACTTTCCTAATGCCACAACCCCTCAGTACAGTTCCTCATATTGTAGTAACCCCCAACCATAAAATTATTTTCATTCATAACTGTAATTTTTCTACTGTTATGAATTGTAATGTAAATATCTGATATGCAGGATGTATTTTCTATTCATTGGACCAAATTTGACACAAATACCCAATATGCTCAAATTTGAATACTAGTGGGGTTGTAGGGATTTATTTTGTCCTTTGGGAGTTGTAGTCGCTGAGATGTATAGTTAGCCTACAATCAAAGAGCTTTCTGAACTCCACCAACGATGGATTTGAACCAAACTTGGCACACAGAACTCCCATGATCAACAGAAAAAACTGGAAGGGTTTGGTGGGCATTGACCTTGAGTTTTGGAGATTTAATTCACCTACATCCAGAGAGCACTGTGGACTCAAACAATGATAGATCTGGACCAAACTTGGCACAAATGCTCAAGATGACCAAATGTAAACACTGGTATAATTTGGGGAAAATAGACTTGACATTTGGGATTTATAGTTCACCTACAATTAAAGAGCATTCTGAACCCCACTAATGATAGAATTGGGTCTTACTTCCCACACAGAACCCCCATGCCATGAAGGAATTTGCTGGTGCGAATCTCCCTCCAGCCTCACACGCTCTCCCTTGCCTGAACATACGCACCACATTGCCATGCACCGAACGTGCCTGTTCTCCCCTCCCCACTTGAAGTCTCAGAAACAGCCCTCCCCTTCGCTAAGAGGCCGGCTAGTCATAGCAGATGAAGGCTTTTGGTGGGAGGACTCACTGTCTGTTTCTAAAAAGGAAGGGAAGGACAGACAGAGATTTTCAGCCTTCTCTGCCAAAGGGGTTCCTAAGATCATCAGAAATATGTTTTCTGATAGTCTTTGGCGACCCCTCCCCCAGGGGTCCCGACTCCCAGATTGAGAAACAGGTATAAAGGGAGATAACTTTTCCCACTCTTTTTCCTTGCAATTCGTTCCTGTAATCATTTTCTTTTCTGTTTGCCTAAAAAGACCTCAGTATTATTAAGTCTCCTTCGTAGCACTTAGCGTGGCACAGGACATGCACATCACCCAATTACTTAGGACTCTGTAACCATTTTCCTTTATTGAAGACGTGCATGTTTGCGATGACATGAAGGTATTGCGGCTGAATGGCCTCTCCTGCATCATTCCCATTTGTGAGCTATCAATTCATACTGAAGTCATCAACAACCCAAGCCCCCTCCCAACCTTGTTTGTCTTTGCACTCAAAGCTTCCTTGTTTTCTATTCAGCCAGAAGAGCAGTCACTCTTGGCCCATGAGTCCTTGTCCTCTACTACTCATTCTTGCAGTGGAGGAACCATTTAATTGGAGGCAAAAACTGACGATGCAAAAATATTTCTTAGTTTTGTAACCTATTCACTTTCTGTTTTATTCATACAGTGTTGGCGTTGGCTTGAACGTTAGGACCTGGCTCTGTTGTCTCTTCAGCTTGGATGCCATTGGACCCATCCTGTCCCCCTTTCCCAGCATGTGTATGACACCCGCAAATCCCCCCCCCCCCGATCCATGTGGTGGAGACAGTGCTATTGGCCAGTAGCTGATCTCCCTCTCCTACTCTTAGCTCTGTGTTTTCAGACCTTCTTGGGCAGCTGTGAGAGTCTTCCTTTTCCATCTTAGAAAAGTTTAATTTTTGTTCCATCACCAGGAGGCAGCAAACAGCAGTCCCCCCGTTCTGTGTCTTGATGCAAGCTTAGCAAGAGAAGCAGAACAGCCCCTTCGAGCCCCACTTGGCATGAATCTGAGCTTTGCAAGAGGCAAAACCTGCCGCTTAGGACAACCTGTAACTTTATTGGCCAGGGTTTGCATGAGAATGTCCCTAAAGCTGTATATAGCTGTGAATGCAGTATCAATCTGGCCCTTTTCGTGCTCATCTGGCAACCCGATGGGTCCTTTAGTTCTCCCATCATAAATAGTTAGAAGTCCCCAATTTTTCCATTCAATTCTTAACACCAGCTTGATCAGAATGAAGATTAGAAATGAGTTGGGAGGCAGAAAAGATCCCTTGATTTGCCAAAATCCTCTCTTGCTGGGAGTGATGAAATAAATCAGCTTTCCCACCTGCAGTAGAGAGGGTTGGTCAGACCTTCTTTTACAATCTACCTGATCAAATTGGGAAATAACATCCCTTGCATGTCTAATGTTGTGAGCTTCTCTTTGCTGGTAGGAGGTAGGCATTAGAAATGGCACCTGTGATTGAAAGAGTTCATCAGTTGTGATTTGCAGGCAGAGGTTTTGAAACTGACAAGTATTGTGTTGCCTCAGGCCTTAGTATTTACTACCTCTGGACTAAGGTGAGTCGGGGACTTACCAGTATGTTTTCTAACTATCCAGGCTTGGTCTTTCCTAAATATGAAGCCATGGGGATGCTATATGAGAAAGGATTCCCAATTAATAGACATGCAAGGGAGGGACGATCAGGTAGCGTTCTCTGGTGAATCTTGGAAGCTCTGCCAACTGGGGTTCTCAGTTTTTATCATGTGACATTGAGAAATTGAAAAAAAAAAAACAACTTTTTCCTCCCCTGTCCTCCAACATTCCCCAATTATCTCTTGAACCCTTCCACTCCCCAGATTCCTGCTGCTGCCTCTATGGTTCTTGCACTGGACAGGTGAAACAAGTGTGTGTTCTAACCACGCACCCCCTAACAGCAAAACACACACACACCCTCCCTCTGTTAGTGGCATGTTACTTTACAATTGTTGAATATTTTTGGTGTATACTTGTTTTATTTTTTCCTCTCTTATGATTAATAAAATGCTCGAACGTTATCTGGCATTGTGTTTTTTGGGACAGTGAAATGGAGCTGCGTCTTTTCACTAAAACTTTGAGTGCATCTACATTGTGAAATTAATCAAATTTGAAACCACTTTAACTGCTATGGCTTAATACTGTGAAGTCCTGGGATTTGTGGCAAAAGAACCTTGTAAAACTATAGCTTCCATGAATCCATAGCATTTAGCCATAGTAACTGAAGTGATGTCAGAGTGCATTAATTCTGCAAATAGATTAGCTTTGGAGCCTTTTTAGGCATGATTTTCATATATCTCAACCTTCCTAATGCCACAACCCTTTAATTCAGTTCCTCATGTTGGTGATGACCCCCAATCTTGAAATTATTTTTGTTGCTATTGCTTAACTGGAATTTTGCTATTGTTACGAATCCTAATGTAAATATCTGACATGCAGGATGTATTTTCACTCACTGGACCAAATTTGACACAAATACCCGATATGCCCAAATTTGAATACTGGTGGTGTTGGAGGAGGAGTTGATTTTGTCATTTGGCCGTTGTTGCTGCTGGGATTTATTGTTCAGCTACAATCAAAGAGCATTCTAAACTCCACCAACGATGGAATTGAACCAAACTTGGCACGCAGAACTTCTACGACCAATAGAAAATACTGGAAGGGTTTTGTTGGCATTGACCTTGAGTTTTGGAGTTGTAGTTCACCTACATCCAGAGAGCACTGTGGACTCAAACAATGATGGATCTGCGCCAAACTTGGTATAAATACACAATATGCCAAAATGTGAACACTGGTGAAGTTTGGGGAAAATAGACCTTGACATTTGGGAGTTGCAGCTGCTGGGATTCATAGTTCACCTACAATAAAAGAGCATTCTGAACTCCACCCACGATGGAATTGAACCAAACTTGGCACACAGAACCCCCATGACCAACAGAAAATACTGGAAGGATTTGGTTGGCATTGACCTTGAGTTTGGGATTTGTAATTCACCTACATCCAGAGTACTGTGGGCTCAAACAACGATGGCTCTGGACCAAACTTGGCATAGATACTCAATATGCCCAAATGTGAACACTGGTGGAGTTTGGAGAAAATAGACCCTTGACATTTGGGAGTCATATTTGATGGGATTTGTAGTTCGCCTGCAATCAAAGAGCATTCTGAACCCCACCAACAATAGAATTGGGCCAAACTTCCCACACAGAACCCATGACCAACAGAAAATACTGTGTTTTCTGATGGTCTTTAGTGACCCCTCTGACACCCCCAGGGGTCTCGACCCCCAGGCTGAGAAATGATGAGTTCAAGACTTCTTTTAGTCTCAAACAGTACAGCTGGGGATGGTGGAAATTGCAATCCCCCAGTCCCTTGAAAGCTATGGGTTTCCCAGTCCTAATAAGGAAAGTGGGTTGCAGTTAGACAGAAGGCCATAGCGTCTTGTTACAGTTCCTGTTCATTTGGGTAAGGCTTGGTGAGGAGATCTATTCAAATGAAATATCGTCATAGAGTCAGCCTGTTCTTCTTTGTAAGGAAACAATACAGAACACCCCCCCCCCTTTTAATCAACCATTTTTGTGTTTGAAGCAGATAAAAGTCCCTCAAGAGGCTATACAAATGCAGACACTTCCTCTTCCAGTGTCACCTCCAGACAACTGAAATCATTTTTTAATGTTTAATCTGTTGCAGAGCTTTACACTGCAGCAGTTTTGAAGGGCTTAAATTCTAGGAATTGTACCTCTTGGGCTGAGTGGGGAAGGGGAGGATGTGGGTGGAAAATGTCCTTCAAACCCTTTTATAACACCCCCCCCCCTCCAAAAAAAAAAACCCACCATAACCTAGCACTGTGTTCTTGGCAAATGTCCTTTGTGTCACCCAGGAGAGAAGAGGACTGCTCTGGATACGGACCAGCTCTTTCAACCTGCAGAGATGCTTTGATGGCAGCTCGCATTCCCTGGCCTCTCGGCATTAAAGCTTCATTTATTCAACTTGCTTTTGGTATTCTTGTCATGCTTTTGGCAGGGACCTTGGAAAATGAAACAAAAAAAGCGTACACGTTTTGCTAATGCCATTGTTAGTGATAATCAAGGAACCCGGCTCTTGTGCCGTTCAGCTTAATTTATCTTCATCTGGTGGCAAAAATTAACATTGCCGTAATTAAAGCCAGTTCAAGGAACTGAGGGTACACAGCGGATGACTTGGGTCAAGGAAGAAAAGTGATTTGAGATGACATATGGACGTCCCATTGTTCTCAGCTGCGTTCTGAGGCTCACTATTATGTTTGTAGTGGCTCTTCAGACAGTGGTTCTGAACCTTCCTAATGCCATGACCCCTTAATATAGTTCCTCATGTTGTGGTGACCCACAACCATAAAATTATTTTCGTTGCTACTTCATAACAGTCACTTTGCTACTGTTATGAATCGTAATGTAAATATATACAGGAGGTATTTTCATTCACTGGACCAAATTTGGCACAAATACCCAATATGCTCAAATTTGAACACTGGTAGGGTGGGGGGAGATTGGTTTTGTCATTTGGGAGTTGTAGTCACTGGGATTTATACTTAAACTACAATCAAAGACCATTCTAAACGCCACCAACGATGGAATTGAACCAAACTTGGCACACAGAACTCCCATGACCAACAGAAAATACTGGAAGGGTTTGGTTGGCATTGACCTTGAGTTTGCATTCAGAGAGCACTGTGGACTTAAACAATGATGGATCTGGACCAAACTTGGCATAGATACTCAATATGCCCAAATGTGAACACTGGTGGTGTTTGGTGAAAATAGACCTTGACATTTGGGAGTTGTAGCTGCTGGGATTTTTAGTTCACCTACAATCAAAGAACATTCTGAACCACACCAACAGAATTGGGCCAAACTTCCCACACTGAACCGTCATGATCAACAGAAAATGATGGTCCTTGGCGACTCCTCTGACACCCCCTTACGGCACCCCCAGGGATCCCGACACCCAGGTTGAGAAACACAAGACATATTATATACCCAAGAATTATATGTTGAAAGTTGTAATTTGTGTTCCTGGTCATATGCAGAGTGTCATTTACATGATCCAGAATTCTGACAGTAACGAGCAGGCAGAGCTACCAGCACAAACAGGAGGGGTGGAAATCCTAATTTTCCAGATGATGTTGGGCTGCAAGCCTCATTGCAGCCACACATCTGGGTGGTGGCATGATTCCTACTCCTCACCTATGGGACTCTTCCAGAACCACTGGTAAGTAAATCCCATGACTAGACAATCCCCAAATATACAATGCAATCATCATATTCTTCACATTCTTCAACTTTCAATGGACGTAGGAAACTGATTAATAGTGAAATTACTTAACTTCTGTTGGAAGTTGCAGTAGAATCAGAGGACTTAGAAAGCTCCAAGACAGGAAGATCTAGGAAGATATCTGTAGGAAGATATCTTCTCTAGGAAGATATCTTTTCTAGTGACGTCTTTCAACACAACTATGGTAGCTTCTGACAGAAGCATACCATCCAACTGCCTGGAGGATCTATTTATTATTATTTCAGACATTTGTATCCCGTCCTATCTCGACCTCTGCAGAGGGACTCAGGGCGGCTAACAACTGGCACACCATGGTGCCCACAACCAAAAGCACAAATATACAATTTAAATAAAAACAATATAAAAACAGTCAAACAGAGAAGGCATATTTTGTTGGATGAAGCTAAGTGAATTCATGGGCACAGGGGTCATATTCTATTTCATTTCTTGGAGGAATCACACCAAAAATCTATGGCATCTTTGCAGCATGTGCTTTATTTACAAAACATACAAGCAAAGTATGAATGGAGGCAAACAGGTATTTCTACATTTCCCTGGTTGGAGAGAGTATCTCCCCTTGGCTTGCACACACACACACACACACACACAAATGTGCACACTTCAAGTTGCTTCACCTCGCATTGTGTGTATTCTCTGTTTCTCTGCCCATCTCAACTGCACAAGTGTTGTCTCGCATGAAGCCTCTTTCTCTGAGCTCAAAATTGCCCATCATGGAGTATCCTTGTTCCGAAATTGCCCATCCTTGTTCCGAATGAGGAAAGGGCAGTCCTAAGAACTATGGGGCTCCCAGGGCTATTTTCCAGCCCATGAAGGCTCCCAAAGCATTAACAAAATAAGCCTTACTTAAAACACTTTTGCCCTATAATGTCACTCTAAGGGTGTGTAGGGCATTTTCACTACATTTGGAGGCAACTCAATCCCATGGGCCAAACACACTTTTCCAAAAAAATGTTACAAGGAAAATAACATAAATACTCCCAAATGTCCACTAAGGAACATGGGGTGCAATTCCATCATGGATCAACTGGACCAATTTAGGAGATATCTTTTTTGAAACCCCAAACAAGGGAAAACTGACTAGAGGACAAATTAATTCATTTTCAGGAGAGGTACAGCCCTCCCAGGATTAAGGGCCAGTTCCCGCTCCCCTAGCCTTCCTCTCACCTTCCGCAATTAAGAAACATTTTATGGCACTTTGATTAAATTCCAAACTGGACATTGTTGAGCTTCACAAGGTCTTCATGCGAATGCAACCAAAATAGGTAGAGTTGACCGAATCCATGATCTTTAGCTTTGAATACAGCTGTCTTTCATGTCAAGATGCTGTCTTATTTGTCTCTAGCTTAGTTGAAGCAGAAACAAGGATCATATTTTCAATCATTTTTGTCATATGAAAATTTCACTTTTGCTATCCTCCCCCCCCCCCCCCCCAAAAAAAACAACAACAAACAGTGTGGACATTTGGTGGTTGACAATTTGAAGCCGGGTCAGGATAGGCTCCTGACCTTCAGCCCAGTTCCCAGCCCACTTAGAGGGTCGAAAACAACAATGTTAGTAGATGAATAGGAACCACATTATCCAGGGAGGTATTTCAGGCACGGCATTTCGGATGAAAGTTTACGAACAAAGAAAGCTCTTTAGCAAGAAAATGGAATGATACCATTCCCCTGTGGCCAGAACCGAGCACAGCTGAGTGATGAGGAAAAGCCTATATCTGTCTGTCTGTCTTGTCATTGTATAATCGGCATTGAATGTTTGCCATATGCAGTGTTCCCTCACTTATTGTGGGTGTTACGTTCCAGGACCACCCGCGATAACTGAAAATCCGCAAAGTAGAGACGCTATATATGTACTGCCCCAGCGCATGTGAAGCATAGGACCGCTCACTCCTCTATCCCCCTCCCCCCTCTCTTTCACTCATTCAATCCCTTTGCCTTCTCTTTCCTCTCCTCTTTCCCCCCCCCCTTCCTCCCTCCCTCCCTCCTCCTTCCCTGCTCACACACACATTCTTCACCTTCCGGTGACTGCGCTGGGAAACATGGTGTCAACTCGGAGGGGATGATTTTAACCAATCACAACCACCAAATCCACGTAGGGGTCCTCACAGGTAATGGGTATACAGTGTGCCCTCGCTACTTGTATATTTTAAATTCATATTTTTTGAAAAACAAAGAAACAGTGAGTTTGCAAAAAGTGAACTGTGAAGTAGCAAGGGAACACTGTATATGATCTGTGATTCGCCCTGAGTCCCCTTTGGGGAGAGAATGGCACAACTTAAGTACTGTAAGTAAATAAATAAAAAACAAGCCCTGGGACTTCCGCTGGTAGGGCTATTGAGAAGGTAGCGGTTACAACACTTTAGTTGTCTCCATATGTGTCATAGTAGGTTGTTGTGTGTTTTCCGTGCTGTATGGCCATGTTCCAGAAGCATTCTCTCCTGGGCACCACAACTGAAGAGAGATATTGACAAACTAGAATGTGTCCAGAGGAGGGCGACTAAAATGATCAAAGGTCTGGAGAAAAGGTCCTATGAAGAGTGGCTTAAAGAGCTGGGCATATTTAGCCTGAAGAAGAGAAGGCTGAGAGGAGACATGATAGCCATATAAATATGTGAGAGGAAGTCACAGGGATGAGGGAGCAAGCTTGTTTTCTGCTGCCCTGGAGACTAGGACGTGGAACAATGGCTTCAAACTACAAGAAAGGAGATTCCATCTGAACATGAGGAAGAACTTCCTGACTGTGAGAGCTGTTCAGCAGTGGAACTCTCTGCCCCGGAGTGTGGTGGAGGCTCCTTCTTTGGAGGCTTTTAAGCAGAGGCTGGATGGCCATCTGTCAGGGGTGATTTGAATGCAATATTGGTGCTTCTTGGCAGGGGGTTGGACTGGATGGCCCATGAAGTCTCTTCCAACTCTATGATTCTATGACATTTCACCTGCATCTATGGCAGGCATCCTCAGGGGTTGTGAAGTTTCAACCTCTGAGGATGCCTGCCATAGATGCAGGCGAAACGTCAGAAGAGAAAGCTTCTGGAGCATGGCCATGCAGCCTGGGAAACACACAACAACCCAGTGATTCAAGCCATGAAAGCCTTCGACAATACATTGTCTCATAGTACTTTGAGGTGTGCCACTTGAATTTCAGATCTTTAGCATCTTTCTTTAGACTACACCTGAAAAGACAAGGTAGAGCTTCGGATTTAAACCACTCTTCTAATACCACAATTCTCAAGCGATTTAAAACCCACTTGGGGATAAGGAAAGTGGCTTCTTCTACCCACACTTAGCAATCTTTTCCAAGTCTTCAGCAGGAAATGGTGCTGTTTGAAGCTGTATTTTAGGTCTTGCGAATGTTCTGCACAAAACCAAAGAGGGAGTCCTTATCAACATTCTGCTTCTGCTCATTTCTGGAGTTTGTTCTTTCAGAGTAAATGAAAAACACGGTTGGGGATGCAGTTAACCATTGCCAAAAAACAGGAGCATTGCGTCAATAGCAGGATGGAAACAGCATTGAGTCTTTCTCCTCTGATGCAAAAGCAGCCAAATCCTAGGGATTCTGCATCATTTGGTTTACAATTCAGGCACTTTCTACTGATTGGTTGCTCCTCCAAAACCATCGATTTAACACATTTTGCTTTCTGCAATCAGTTGTTGGATGGCTTGGCTTTTTATCCCTGATCCATGCTAAAATATTAGGCTTGAAAAGGACACATAAGCAGAAATCAGCAACTTTACACACTTCATGTCAGTTTTCCTAAATGTAGATTGAGACAAGCCAACAAAGTTCCCAATGCACACACAGAGACACGAAACAAACCAAAGGAAGGGATATTGAGAAGGAAAAGAGATTAGAGAGGGGATACCAAACATTTGCTAAAGACAGCATGAGGATCATAACCAAAAAGCATTTTGTGCATTTTTCTTCAGTGATGTCATTAAGACATTTGACCAATTGTCACTTGTCCCTTTTGTAAAGATCAAGTTCCTAGCCCTCTTGATGGAAGTAAAAGCCAAAGCAAAACACAAATGCATTGGGAAGTTTCAAAGCTGAGAAATCCACAAAGGCTAATATCTTCAGTCGATAAAAACTTCAGGATGCTTGGATGTTCTCAAGTCATCCAAAGTAAACATATTCTTCATACCTGCCCTGCTTATTTTTCAGTTTCAGACACAAAGAATAATCTGCTGGTGTTTAGAGGGTCCATACAGAGCAAAACTACTGTTGCTGAGGTTAATGTTGATCTTGGAGCTCCCTTATGCTGGCAGGACTGAAGACCAACAGGTTTGAGTTTTGAATCCGGGGAGCAGATGGATGAGCTCCCTCTGTCAGCTCCAGCTCCCCTTGTGGGGACATGAGAGAAGCCTCCCACAAGGATGGTAAAACATCAGAACTTCAGACTCCAGTCATTCAACTGATAGCAAATGGTGATACTTGTTTTCATTAATCATAAGCCAAATGTGATGTTCTTAATTACTTAAATGTTGTATTTCATTATTCTACTTTCACTTGACTTAGTCGATGGTTTGTTGACCGAAATAAAGGCTACTGACTGACTGACTGACTGAACTTCTTTGCAGACGGCCAATTTTCTCACACCAAGTCACTCCTGACACGAAAAAATAATGTTGAGCCCAGATCTTGAGAAATGGGTGTTTTCTGTAGGTACCTGGAGTCATCAAAGGCCATCCAAGGCTATTTTTGCAGCCCTGAGCTCCTCCATAGATATCTTGAGCAATGATTAATCAATTTGCCCCAAGGAAATGGGAAATTATTGTTTCCATTTGATGTTTGACATTTTGTCTTATGTCTGTTATAACAGGCTGTGCTTTTTATTTAATTTTAGTTTGTTAAGTTATAACTCGTATTTATATGTTGGGTTGCACACATTTTATTAGTATGGATGTATTGTTGTTGTATTCAGGCATTGAATGTTTGATTGTTATGTTTGGAATCTGCCCTGAGTCTCTTTGGGGAGATAGAGCGGAATATAAATAAAGTTTTATTGTATTATTATATCCATACTCCCCTGAGTGGCCTGTGAATGTATGATCTACCAAAAGAGTGAATTGACTAATAGGAATGCACTTTTAAAATAGGTATTTAAGTTGTCAGTTAGATTATTATTAATTTTTTTGCAGTGAAATAAATTGATGACTATTTTCAAGAGTGGCATATCGGCATAGGTGTGTCGCTCTTTTCCCAATTCCACATACCGAAACAGAGTGGCCAGGTTATAAGACTAAGATAAGGCAGAGTAGGGAAGGACACAAACTTAAGACTACAATCTCACACACTTGCCAGGCCATTCCCATTTAATTCATTTGATTTACTACAGATTAGACCTGATAGGGTTACATTGTGCAATTGGACCAAGAAGCTGGCATTAATGCTGGTTCAGAAGTCTCTTTTCACCAGATCTGCCCATTTTCAGAAATTCTCTGTGTACATAAATAGCATAATGGTTGCCAAAGGTGGCATCCTGTGACACTATGAAAATCCTATGACTTTCTGTTTTCTCTTCTTTTTAAAAGTCAGGTTGCTAGCCCTTGTTACGCTTGAAGAAAGATGGATCATCTTGGGAGAAATCTTAGGAGTGCAGAATGAGGAGCCTGAGTTCATTGTTGGGTTCCTTCCTATCACAAGCATAAACTGAATAATGTTGATGCTTTTCAAAGTTTTTGAAAAATTGGTATCTATTAATTTTGTAGATTTTGGCTTCACAGTACCTTGATCCAGAGTTTAAGTGATACGCTTGCTTAAAGTGGTGTTAAGAGAACTAGTGGACCCTGTGATATTGTTGCACTCCACCCCCCCATCAGTCCCAGAAGTGTGACCAATTGTCAGGGATGATGGGTGCTGTAGTACAATAATACCTATAGGACTGCAGGTTCCCCATTTCTTTACAGTGGGTTCTGTCCTCCACAGCAGGGTGGCAGTAGCTAGTAGCAAAAGGCCAAACTGTGGTTAGTTGTAACCAGAAGATGGTTTTCCTTCCACTAATGAGATCTCAAGAAAGCGAGACTCCCCTTTGCTTCTCAGAGATTGGCTGCCATGGGTGCCTCCTCAAAAGCTGTCCTGAAGACCTGCAGCAAGGACCTCCTTACTGCATCCTGGAATTCCTGCCCCACAAAGACATAGAGCAAAGGATTGATGCAACTATTGAACATGGCAAGGCACTTGGAGAGGGGGATGGCTACCAGGCGCACGGAATCTGGCACCGTGTCCATGGAGATCCTTGCCAAAGCCAAGGCATGATAGGGCAGCCAACACATGAAAAAGCAGAAGACCACTCTGGTGACTACCAAAAAAGGCTTGCTGGATTTGTTGAGCTTCTTCTTGTGCATGGTCACCACCAAGATTGTGTAGGAGATGGAGATGACCAATAAAGGCAGGAGGAATTGATAGAGAAAGATGCAAATGGTGAGGACTTCAGCTTCCTGCCAGTCCTGGAAGACATCCAGGTTGTTGCAGGAGCTCCGGTTGTTCTTTTCTAGTGAGACCTCAGTGAAGAAGTAGCAGCTGGGGACAAAGAAAGCCAAGGAGAGCAGCCAGAGAAACCCACATGCCCCCCAAGTGAGGCGGGGCGTGCGGTAGTTTTGGCACCAGACAGGGGCCACTACAAGGACACAGCGGTCCACACTAATGGAACTGAGCAAGAGCACGCCGCTACACACACTAAGCCCAAAAAGGCAGTTGGCCACCTTGCAGGCCACGGATCCAAAGGGCCAGTGCAGATCCAAGGCCAAGTATAGGATGGTCACAAAAATCAGAGAGGTGGAGGCCAAGTCAGCCAAGGCGAGGTTGAAGAACCAGACTGTATTGGATGTCCAACGGAGTTTCAGGCCAGTGACCCACAAAACTATTCCATTCCCGGTCACTCCAGCCAGGAGGATAAAGCTGAAGATCACACCCGTGATGATCTTTACAATGTTACGCACAGTGCTCTCCCCCAGGACCAGAGAGGAAGCTGAACTGTTGGCTGCTGGGCTTGCGGACATCTCCCTGCCAAAGAGAGAAAGAAAGGGGAAATATTAAGCTTGCATGTAACTCTATCTATGAAGGGCAATGGACCACATGTGTCCTCTTTACCCATTTCTGTGGCCCCTAAATCCTCTTCTGCCCATTCCCTCATTAGGCAAAAAAAGAAAGATATTTATGGTTTATGGTGGCCTCCAAGGCTATAAATTCACCTTTAACACAAAGTGCAGCCCTCCAATTCTTCTTCAACTACTAATAAAGGTTTCTAATAGGATTGCTGTGAGTTTTCCAGGCTGTATGGCCATGTTCCAGAAACATTCTCTCCTCATGTTTTACCCACTTCTATGGCAGACATCCTCAGAAGTTTTAAAAATAATTTCCACCTTCTTGTTTTTTTAGTGAACCTATAGTGAGAGCAGAAGGTGAGGATTGGCCCCTAGGTTTCAGAGTTTTCAGGTCAACCTCAACTTCTTATGACACTGTATTACCTTCCATCATGTTGACTTAATAGAGACCTCAACATCATCCACTTATCAACAGCCCTGTTGTCCATGTCAGAGCAATGGCTTCCTTGATTGATCTCCCCACCCTCTACCTTCTAGCTTCACAAGGAACATTGTCTTTCTAATGAGACCTGTTTTCTCATGATGTGGCCAAAGTATAACAGACAGCACTTAGACATTTTAGTTTCTAGGGAAGGTTCAGGCTTCATTTGCTCTAGGATCTAATTATTTGGTGGCACGATTTCTAGGTTTTCTTGGCAGGATTTATTCAGAAGGAGCTTGTTATTGCTTTCCTCAGGCTTGGGGAGTGTGGCCTTCCTGAGATGTGTTTCTATGGTTGAACTGGGATGGGAACCTTGGTCTCCTAGCACCTTGGTCAAACACTCAAGGCAGTAAGTCATGCTGGTGCAGAGTTTGCCCACCACAATTTACTGTATGTCCATAGCATACTGGAATATATGCCCTACTCCAAGGGCAACGCTGTCAAAAAAGAAGGTGGGGAAGTAAGAATTAAAATAAAATAAAATTATTAATCATCAAACCAACAAAGTGAGGGAGAAATATATTGTAAAAATTAAATTTATGAGTTACTATAAGCAGTCCATATAGCAAAATGATGCCCACAAAAAAATCTGTAGAAAACATGCAGGCAAAATAGCCAAGTTTTCAAACTACTGAGTGCTAGGTACTTATTTTCCAGCCTTGAAGCATAAACCTCTTTATTCCAGCAAGGACATAAAATTGCATTGCCCATCTGTTCATTCTCCATGTTTTAAATTTATAGCTCAAAAATACATGAGCATCAACCATTTTCAAAATTCTGTATAACAAAAAATAAATTTCTATTTGCGGCTTTCATTAGGTGAACATGGCTTGAAGGCTTTTTACAAAATTGCACAGATATGTTTGGAGTGAACAGTGGAGTAAAGAGTAGAGACATCACACTGGTAACAAAGGTCTGCATAGTTCAAGCAATGATATTCCCGGTAGTAACCTATGGATGCAATAGCCGGACCATAAGGAAAGCTGAGTGAAGGGAGATAGATGCTTTTGGACTGTGGTTCTGGAGGAAAATTCTGAGAGTGTCTTGGAACACAAGAAGATCCAATCAGTCCATACTCTGGAAAATAATGCCTGACTGCTCATTGAAGGAAGGATATTAGAGGCAATAATGAAGTATTTTGGCTACATAATGAGAAGACAGGAAAGCTCAGATAAGAGAATAATGCTGGAGAAAATGGAAGGAAAAAGGAAGAGTAGCCGTTCAAGGGCAAGATGGATGGATGGTATCCTTGAAGTGACTGGCTTGACCTTGAAGGAGCTGGGAGTTCTGGCATGGGCTGGTTCATGAGGTCACGAAGAGTTGGAAGTGACTGAATGAATAAACAATAACATGTTTGGAGTAGGTTGACTTAAAACCCAGGCTGTATGGTGAATGCAAACCCATTTTTTGGGGGTTGCTTATGGGGTACTCAATTAATTTAGTAAGAGTTGGCATTCGGATAGATTAGCACTCAATTTGTAGAGTATGTTTAAGATGTTCAAACTTTTAAAACTGTGATGTATGTGTAAAATCTATCTCTGTGTGTAATGGTAGTCCCGTGAGAGCACCCCAGATATTAGTTCATTCAAATAATCATCTCTGATCAAAAACAAGCCACTTTCAGGAACAACGGCATCTCATGTGTCTGTCCACATTTCCTTACCAATATAAGAAGAGCCAAACAGCATTTTCCCAAAAGAGATTTAGTGGTACCTACATCCATGTCAACTTCTTTTAAATCTAAATAGTAGTACATCAAGAGGCTGAAAATGTATGAAACATTCTATTTCTTCCTTCTATTCATGTCTAAACTCCTCAATGTTAAACTTCAGAGTGCTGTGATCTAAGCTTTGGGAATGACATTGGCACAGAACTGCATACTGGAGATTGGCACTTCCTCACTCTCTAGACTTCCTGAGTGACTCACCAAGAGTTAATTAATCCCCACTGCACCATATAAACCATGCCCCTTACTATGCTTTCTGAATCTAAAAGTCTGCGGAAGGCATTATGAGCCATTACATCAACTTTTCAGCTTCTCTACTCATTCACTGCTCCTCAGTTTAATGCTGCCCCAGAGTCTGCAGAAGGAGGTGAAAACCATGCTGCACGTGCCCAACCAATTGGAAGTTGTGTCTATTAGTGAAGAGGGTGCAGGTGGTTCACACATCAGTTGCATGGTAAAACTACGCTTGGCTGAACCTATTTGGGGATGTAGTTCAGCACCATGGAGAATTACTCTAAAGTTTGAAACCCAGTGCAGATTGATTAATCATCCTGTTGACATGGGAAAAACCAAAGGCCACAGGAAAAAGAGGGCAGGAGTCACTGGTAGAGTCAAAACACCTGGGATTTTTTCCCCCCAAGGTGACAGGGCTCACCTCAACTCCATTGCTCCCCTCCCACGCACCCACCACATTGTGCAAACTAACCGCTCCTTCCCCTCCTATCTGTAATTGAAATTCTCAAGGGCAATCTCAGTTGCTCTGGTTACCGCGTAACTTCCACATAGCTGGAACTATTGCACAAAGTGGAGGGAAGCATCAATAAACGAGCCTCGGTACAAAACGAGAGAGTTGCCATGGGATCAGAGAGAGCTTCCGTTGCCAAGAGATGGCACAAGAGAGGAGGGGATGCTGGAGGAATCAGTGGTCTGACCACAAGGCCTGCTGAAGTGGCCAACTTAGGTGCATAGCAGCATATGAGTACCATCAAAGAGTCAGGGTTTGTGTGGAATAGAGAGATATGATCTGTTGAGTATACAAACCTTCAAGAGTGGATTGTGCAGTGTACATTCATTTTGGCAAAGCCAGGAGAAAATTTCTATCCTTTGCTAACCAAAGATATAGGAACTTGTTAGTGAATTAGACCTAAATAAGCCCAGGAAGGAAATGAGCAAGAGGAAGAAGCTGGACAGTAGATATGTGTGTAATATTAATTACCTGCTGTTTCTGCCATTTCTTTTGTGTCCTGTGTTTCTTTGGAAGCACAAAATGGGAAGCCCCCTCCCCACACAGAAATCTGCTCAACACAAAAACATGCTTTCATGTTGAGCTGAAATTGCCTACTTGCTTGCGTGTAGGCAGACCTGGAGCTTGGCTGCAGGCATGCTCCAGACCTGCCTACAAACCCCGCGACACACGTTCTTGGATAGTGTGGCAGGGCGTGCAGGCAGGTCTAGTGCTCGACTGCAGGTGCACTCCAAGCCTGCCTACAGGCACATTTCGGGCCTGCCTGCAGGCCCCACCACACTCTCCAAAAGCATGTGTGCCAGGACCCAGAGCATGCCTGCAACCGACCTCCAGGCCTGCCTACATGCAGGCAGGGAGGCAATTTTGGCCAGCTTCAACACACACACTCTCAGAGAGTGTGGTGGGACTTGTGTTGCGGCTGGCAGGCATGTAGGCCTGCAGCTGAGTGCCTCTTACTCGAGAGGGGAAAAAGCAGGTGCCAGGTAAGAAGACCATCAAAGGGAGCCAGTGGGTGGGAATCCCCCCAATTATGGTCCAAATTTTAAGTCCCCAAACAGAAAACAACCCTTCCAATTTTGGGAGACTCTCAAAAATTGATTGTGGCCTCCAACAAAAGCCAGGACATAAAATGAAGCAAGGTTTACCCCAAAAGAACAAGCCTGTTAGACAGTAAAAAAAAGTTCTCACCTCATTCAAATCTGAGAAACAAATTTAAAAGCTTTTAGAATCTGAAAGTGTGTCCAAGTTTGGAGACTTCCTTCCTTTCTCCTAAACCCAACCGGCACGCCATATTTCAGCACAAAAGATTACAAAACAGAGGGGAATAAAATGAAGAAGTTTTCTTTCCTTTTCTCTTCAAACTGTAAAAGTAAATATATTCTAAACTTCAATTGCAGCGTGTTTGCTCAAAAATGGGTAAACACCAGACTTAATATTTAATTTTAGGGCTTCAAAGTTACAGTGAATCAGCTCTGTTTCCTACCTTAAACACCTCTTGGAAAGGAATAAGAGGAAAGAGTCTGGCAGGGAAAAAAAAGATGTGGCCCGACACTTTTGATGACTCTGGCCCTGTACATATTTGACTGCAGCCCAATGGGTCTCAGCAACAACCAAAGTCCCCTGCTTCTACTTTGGGTACAGATGGCAGCATTCGAGATTTTTTTGTTGTAAGGCTGTGGTTTTGAAAAGGATAGAGTATGGAGTCTCCTTCTGTAGAGGTTTTAAACCAATCTGGAAGGCCATCTGTCAGGAGTGCTTTGATTATGTATTCCTACATGGCAGGGGGCTGGAGTGGGTGATCCCAGGGGTCTCTGAGAAAGAGAGAGGAAAACTGATGGATTTCTAATCTAATACCTAGTTTAGATGTTAGCATTTCAAATGTAGTCAACCTGCAGATCTGAAGACCTTTAATGTTCGCTCTCCTAGTCTCCACGCTGCTGTAAGATTTATCATAATGCTGTGATCTGGTTATGCAACTGCAGCTGTAGTTTTATTATTTATACAGCT